GCGCTCTTAAGCCGGACCGGGGCCGCCTTTGGACGGGCCGGCCTTCGAGCCGGGCAGAAGGGATCCTTCCGCGGTCTGGGAACGGGGCTCCTGCGCGCCGAGAGGCTGCTATAATCGCCCCGGGCGCCGCGCGCAGTACCAGCTTCAGGGGCTTTACCGACGAGACCGCGGACGGACTTTCCAGAGGCAGCGCGGCTGGACAGCGGGACTTTGGAGGCAGCGACGTGAGAGCTGCCCGTTGGGCCCCTGCAGGTGATCTCAAGAAGCTAAGCCAGCTGGGCGTTCCAGGGATGCGGGCTAGATCGGGAAATCACGGCCCGGAGGAAGATGCTTGGTACTTTTCTGGCCAACCGCGTGGAAGCCGTTTGCCGTTACCTTCTGGGGAAATCAATCTCATCCTGCCCGACTTTAGGTACCATTACAAGGCTCCCTGTCCTCGGCTGCCGTCCAAGCTTAACACCCGCAGGTCCTTCTCTCCTAGAACTGCTTCCGTCTGCAACTTTCCCAGCTCTCGTGGTGGGGGGCAGTGGCCAGGAATATGCAAAATATAACTAAGTGTGATCACACCATAGATTTATGTAACCGATGAGGTAAAGGCACTGTCACTTCTGCAGTTTTCTGGATTCCTTTCCAGTGACCCTAACATGGCATTTGCTGTTTTCCAAACAGCTGCACGCTGAGACAGCATCAGGACAGGGCTTTCTCAGGGGAGTAACAAAAAAAAAAATTAAGGTGGGGATCTCGATCACACGATCGCCATCATGACTGAAAACTCCACCCTGTGGACACCTCTGGATCCAAAGAGATGGATTCCATCCTAACGTAGTCAAAGCCAATACTTACAGAAAGTACAATCTTCCTGTACAGAACTTACAGAATCTATTTTTCAACAGATTCCCTTTATTCGTTTCTTTAAATTACAGAACTGTATCAACACACATCACAGGCAAAGAGAGAATCCCTGCTCATTTCTTTCAAGATTTGCCATGGCCTTCCCCAAGCTGGCAATTCCCAGAGGCTGTGGACTGGGACTCGACTCCTGGTGGCTGGGAATTTCAGGCCCAGCGCATTTGAAAGGCACCAGATTGGGGAAGACAGGCAGGCCGTTGTGAAATCTTTGTTGAAATCTTTCCTCCCATTCTTAGCTGAGAGTAATCACAGAGGGCAATGTTGTTGTTTTTTTAAGATTTGAACAATGAAATGATTTGTTATCACCTTCACTCATTCAGGAACATTATTTAGCAGATAGTTAGGAAGACTTTTTGCCCTTCAGGACAAAACAACTTGGAAGCAAGAGGCCACGTGGAAAAGCTGAAAGAAGTCTAGATGCTTTCTGAATTGTGGGAAGAGGAGGTTTTCTCTTACACACCTCGTCTACACACCTGAGACTATCTTTCCTATGTTAAGAGAGTGAGGAGGGACTCAGAGAAGCATCATCCGCAGTGAAGCAGTCCTGGGCACCTGCCACAAGAGAGATGGATGAGGTAACCCTGCATTATCCGGGCTCAACTCCCACTATCCTCTTATGGAGGTCTTGGGTGGTGCCAAGATACTTTCAAGCTTCTCCGCGATGAGACCATATTCTATGAAGCACTGGACCTGGATGATCCGTGTCTTTTGGCCCCTCCAGTGCCCCAAGTGCTGGAAGCAAGCTGGAAAGGGATTTTGGCCTCAACGTTTCCCTCCAAGGAAGAACCTCTCTGGCTCTAAAAAAAAATGCATCCAATGGCAGATGGAACACCCCGAGGACCACAGAGGCGGTCACCGGCAGGGCCATCGGCTGCTTCCATCTTCAGCCAGCCTCTGCTCCTTGGAAGAGCCAACAGGGTCCAAGAGAGCAGATGGGAGGATCAATCACAGGTGCAGGTAGAAGACCCAAACTGGTTCACAAAATGCACAGTTGACTCAGGAGCTACTTGGAGCATTTCAAGGTTTGGTTTATCTCGTAGCTTTCTGTGCAACGTGCAGCCAATTAGAAGGCAACAAGAAGGGGATTAGTGAAAGGAGAGCTAGCTTCATGCAGATTTTGCACTTACGCCAAGCCTTTGTTTCTACTCTGCCTTTACACCAGAGTAATGGATTGCAAGATTCTAAGGAAACATGGATCTGACTCTGCTCCTGTTGACAATGACACGTTCTTAATCTTGTCTGCTGGGAGTTTCAGTTCCAGCCTGGTGGTCTCCAGATGCACATTCTGCAATTCACAGAAAACCCCATCTTGTGTAGCTGGGGAATTCTGGGATTTACTCTAAGGCAAGTTAAGAATGCCAGGTTGAAGAAGGAAGTCCTATATGACTCTGCATAACCCAAACTGGCTTTGGCCTCACTGTGGTTGCAAAATACATGTGCAGTTACAATTGCACAAGGCCTGTTGTAAATTGTTTCCATCTCTCAATCTTTTCCACACTTCCCTTTGTGCTGCCTGTGGCCACTTAAAATTTTTCTCCTCCCTCCTTATTGTGTCTCATACATGCCCTTCCTGGCGACACCTGCTTCCATTCAACCCATGTTATTGCAAGCTCTCCACACAAAGGGTCTGTAGGGATAAAGAGCAAAGAATCATCTCTCACCGAGTTCAAATCAGCGTGGAAACCTGCAGGAGTGTCACCCTCGCAAGCTGAGCCCTTTAGAAAAGCACCAGTAAGGACCTGACAGCAAAATTCTAGGTATCTAAGATAGAACAAGGCATTTTTGGGCTTCAGAGGTGAAGCCAGCTACTCTGGTGATGCTCACAAGAATTACAAGCAGGGAAGAACATTGCTCAGTCTCCCCTCCCCACCAAACAGAGGCGGGGAATCTGCGGCTGTCCAGGTTTTGCACTACAATTCCCACCATCCGTGACCATGGCCATTGCCATTGCCATTGCCAGCCAGGGCTAGTGCAAATTAGCCACCTCGGGCCCCGAGAAGGAGTAGGACATGCACACATGGCTGCCAGTTCATTTCCCAACAGGATGATTTTATATATAATTATCTCAGACAGGGAGAAAAACACCCCCAAACCTCTCCCAGAAGATAAGGTGCTGCAGCAGTAAGGCCACCGAGACGCGGTCAAACTCGGCAGAGGCTCCGCTTGGCTGGGCCTGCGTTCCTCAGGGCTGAAGGGGCAGGCTCTGCGCCCTTCCCAGGAAGGGCTCTTGGCCCAGCCAGATGCAGAAAGACTTGTCCTCAGTTGCCCTCCTTCAGTCCTGGGTCACTGCTCTTCTACGTGAAGGATGGTTTCATTTCCTTCGCTGGGGAGCTGAGGAACGGCGTAGACCAACGCTTGGTCTCTGTCCTGGCAGATAATGGCAACTGCGCCACCACTCTCTGGCATAAAAGTGCTGGACTGCAGGCACGCCTGGGGAGGCAAGAACAGAAAGAGGGTTAGGGTGCCCTGGGCACCTCTTCTGGTGGTTGGCCTTTGGCCAACCGCATAGAATTCTGGCAGGGTCCACCATGTCCAGACAGCACCAGGGTGGCCTTGTCACCCGAGGTGACACTGTTTAAGCATCTGCGCCTCTGGCTCTGGCCAATCTCCTTGTGGCTTTTGCTTCCTTCATTCTGATCTTTGGATTTTCCTTCTCTCCCATGAGTGGAATTCAATTTGTCTTGGGAAAAACCCCTCCCCTTGGGTTTATAAAGCAACACGAGGTGGACGTGCTACATTCAAGATCTTCTCCCTAGTCCCCCAGAGGCCACCTCATTGTGCCCCAAGATTTTGAAATAACGTATGCCCTTGTGCCTGTTTCTCTACCGAGAAGGAGGAAGCACTCCATCAACCTACCATCTCCAGGAGCTTCAGCTTTTCTTCCGACACCAAGTTCTCCTTCCTGAGCTGTTCCACTACGCTTTCCATGGCTTCCAGTTTGGCACAGTGTCGGCGGTGCCTCTGCTGGAGCACCTTCACCTTCTTCTGGAGCCCCATCACCACTTCCACCAACTCGGCTGTCGTCCCCTCGTTCTTGTGGTACCGATGCTCCTCCAGTTGCTCCTCCAAAGATTCAGCGGAGCTCAGCTCGTCTAGCTTCACCTCTTCAGTCGAGGAGGAGGCCTCTGGAGAGGCTTGGTTGGAAACGATGGGGAGGGTGGAGACTATGGGCAGGCTGAGGGCCGAGGACAACACGGTCTCGGGGGGAGTCACGCCAGAAGAGGCAGCTGCGGTGATGGGAGCTGTGGGGATGGTCTCAAAATAGGCCACCATCTCAGCAGTGGTGGACTCTTGCAAGGCGCTCAGGACTGGGACAGCTGCAGAGGGGCCGCCCTCCAGAAACGGCTCAATGGAGACATTCTCAATGACCAGGGCCCCTTGCTCAGCCACCGCTGCCTGCTCTGCCACCACGGCCCGTAGTGGGGGCTGGTCACCTGCTGCCACCACTTCACAGGGCAAGGCCACTTCGGTACAAAATTGCCCAGAGAGCCCTATGGAAGAGCTTGGCATGGCTCCTAGGGTGGAGGGCGGCAGGGCGGCCACAAAGTCGACCACCTGTTGTTCCAGGGGCTCCTGCAAAGACTGGCCCGAGACGGCCCTCGCTGGCGAAGCCACAGCCAGGGTCACGGCTTTGAGGGGCTCCACGATTTGGACCAGAGGAACCAGGTTCACGGCCCCAACCAGGGGTCCTGAGAGGGCGTGGAAGTCCAGGCTGGAGGCAGAAGACTGGGCTTCCACATAGACCGGGGTGGTGGCCACGCTGGGGTCTATGGCTATGGCAAGCGTCTCCACTGCGTTGGGCTCCTGGCAGCTTGAGGTTTGCGGAGCTGGGATGCCCTTCCCTCCACTGCACTCGAGCATGAGCTTCTTGGCGGGCATGTTTGGAGCCAGCTGGGCAGGGTTCTCCCTCTTCTGAAATAAAAGAGACGCCCTTCAGCGATGTAGCGCTGCCTCCTCCAATTTAACCAGGAGCCCAAGCCCTGCAGGACTGACCGAGGGCCCTCTTCGACTCATTCCTTCCTCTCAAAAGCCAGGCAGGGAAGCCCATTCCTGATCAGGCCAAGAGCAAGAGGCAAAAACCGAGCAGGGAAATCCCCCTTACCCACAGTGGCCTTTGCCAAACCCAAACTTTCTCCAGCTCCATCACCACTCTTTACCAGTTCTGGCTAGTTTCAGTCACCACCTGAGGCTGGCCATGGCTTACAGCGCTAGCCCCAAGAGAAGGCGCCTTAATTCAGACTCTCGCTGCTCTCCATCTGGACCCGAGTTTCACGGCTCTGAAAAGCGAGGAACTGGCCCGTTTTGATGAACTCCGCCAAGAGATCCGAGAGAACTCCCAGCGCTTTTCCAGGACTATCACTGAATAGCTAAGAGTGTTACCTCGAGCACTGAAAGAGCATCATGGCTATCCCAGGCATCGTTATTCAGATTCACTCTTCCTGTCTCCTTAGTACAATTTTGAGGGACCGAGGACGAGAGTCTGGGAACCTTTTGATCTCTTAATCTCTCAGAGCTGGCAGTCTGAAATCTACGGCTTTGGCAGTTGGGCTGGCGCATTCCAGTCCTTTTATCCAAAACAGGCTCTCAGCCTCCCTTGGCGCATACCTGCTTCTCAACCGGATTCTTTCCAGGGCTAATTAAGCTGCACTTAAAGTCACCTGACAAAAGCTGTTGATTCCCGGATCTAAGTCCAACATGCGACGGAGCTGGAATATTCAGCCTCCGCCAGCAGGGGACGGTTGAGAAATCAAAGCCGTATCAACAAAAATACTAGGATAAATTGCCCGGAAAAGAGGGGAGGAAAAAAAAAACATCTGGAGGGACAGGTGACTATCCAAAACAGACCAATTTTCTGTTTTTGGAGGCTGAACCTCCCAACTACCACATATCTATATACTGTACTACTAAAACTCCTGTATCTATTTGTTTCAGTGTTTCTCAACTTTGGCGAGTTTAAGATGTGTGGACTTCAGCTTCCAGAACTCCCCAGCCAGCCTGGCTGGCTGGGGA